ATCTGTCTTTTCCCACCCTATAAAAATATTATGATAGAGAACCACAGATTTTTATTGATATCTTTTGTTTTTACATTATCTACATTTCAGTTTCCTCAACTATAAAAAGGGATAATAATAACACCCATCTCCCAGGGTTGTTGTGAGGAAAGAATGAGATGATATTTCTAAAGTGTTTAAGCGTAGTGTCTGGAACATACTAGGTGCTTAATAAATGATTGTTTCCTCCCTTTATACATTTCTCTGTATCCTTCCCCTCCCTTCTCCCAGATAGCCATCTCTTGAGATGAACAATTTTTGTAAAAGAGAGAGAAGAGAGAAAAAATTCATCAACACTAATCAACACACTGAAAAAATCTGACATTATATGCAATGCAACCAAGGGTTCTTAAAGCTGAAACAGGCCTTAGAATCTAACTCCCTCATTTTTTTTAGATGAGGAAACTGAGGCCCAGAGAGTATAAGTGCTTTTCCTAAGATCACACAACTATCAAGTGGCAGATTTGGGCCCCAAACCCATATCTCACGACTCCTAGCCCAGTATACTTTCTGTTGTTCCATGAAAGAGTCTTGGGGGAAGTTGGAGTGAGGGGATAGTTATTACTAGATAGAACAGTTCATTGCTTATTGTTGAGGTTAAGGCGTGTTGAGAAAGTCCTTTTCCTTGACAAATACCATGTGACCCCCTCAACCTATCAAATGATTCTTCAAATTCCATCATTACAGTTTGGTTCTTTTGGTTTGAAAGACTGTCCTACGTCAAAATACCAGTGCCACTGAGAAGAGTAACATATTAAGCCTTGTCAATCACTTATGCCTTAGCATAAATACACTGCTAAGCTCCTTTTTCTAGAATTGGTTTTGTTAAAGAGAGGACGGGAAGAGCTGTGGTTGGAATGGAAAATATCATTGAGGAACAGACTACCACTGAAAGGGGAAATATGGGCAACATTACAGACCAATTGCCATTTCTGAAGGTTTGCTTCAGGCTGACCCTAGAAATGGGTACAGCTGGAAGGCATCTTGGGCTCCTTGGACAACCAGCATGGCACTTTGGAGCCACAGAGAATTATGGCTGTATCATTTCTATTCCGTCTTTAGGCAGAGGCAGGCAGAGTGAGAGAATGGAAATCTCCTGGAACTAATTTTGGTTTTTATTTCCAAGGCCTTATTCCTCTAAGCCTACAATGTGAAACTAGTGTAAAGATGGAAAATATCTTGACATTCCCCTCTTGTAATGGTTAAATGAAAACACTTAGAGGAATTCTGGCTTTTGAATAAGAAACTCCCAAGTTTATTTAGCATCTAAGCCCTAATTTTATGGGGAAAATGAGAGAAAGCTTTGGTTCAAAATATCCACTGGCATTATCAATAGAATTTAGAACTGGTAGAGACCTTGGAGGCCATCTAGTTTAATTCCTTCATTTGCAAAGAAGACAAAACTAGGGCCTAAGGAGGAGAAATGTTATACGGGTAACAAAAATAACGATGATAATAATAACCTTATAGCAACAACAACAACAATTGCTAGTATTTACATAGCACTTACTATATTCCAGGTGCCATGCTAAACGTTTTACAGATGTCTCATTTGACCTTCACAACAACCCTGGGAGATATTATTATCCCTATTTTTCAGTTGAGGAAACTGAGGCAAACAGGTTGAAACTCTGAATCCAAACCTGGTGTTCTTTCCTCCAAATGCCTTTCCAATCACTTCATTTTATAGATGGGGAAAATAAGGTGCAGAGAAATTAAATGACCAATAGGCATTTGATGCCACCTAGGCATTGAGGTTTAAGAGTAGATAGAACATTGGACTTACAGTAAGGAAAAATCTGAGTTTCAGGCCTCCCTCAGACTCCTAGTAGCTATGTGGCCCTGGGTAAATCAGTTAACTGCTGGCTGCCTCAGTTTCCTCATCTGTAAAATGAGAGTAATCATAGCACCTACCTCCAAAGGTTGTTATAACAATCAAATGAGAAAACATTTAATTTGCTTTATTAAAGCACTATGCAAATATTAGGTAGGGAGGTAAGTAGTAGTAGTGGTAGTAGTGTTAGTAGTAGTAGCAGCAGCAGCAGAAGAGGTGTTTAAATCTAAGCCTTTTTGTTCCAGTCCTGTGTTTATTCTACTACTCCATTTTTGTGCCTCGTGCCAGCACAAATTGGATTTCTCGAATTTTCCTAGACCACCACTGTTAAGAATAATAACTAGGGCAGGCTGACTGGGCATTGCCCTAGGGCTTTGAATTTAGAAGGCACTGAAAGCATTGTCAGGTATTTACTAGCTTAGAAACAACAGAGCTCAGCACTTGGGAAGAATTAGTTAAAAGAGGAAGGTACCAGACAGTTTGCTTGCTTCTTCTCCCCTATGGCTGCACCCTAATTGATCCCTTCTCCTTCTCCATGTTCCACACTCCTTCCCCAGCACGGGTTTCACCAGACCTCGGGGTGTTTGTCTAAGAGGGTTGGTATCTTTGTTTCAAAAGAAGATATAAGGGCATATTGTGTGCTGTTTGCCCCAGTTCAATTTGTGCTGCCCAGGTACAAAAATGGCTAGTTATGGCTTGCCATACCATAATCAATTCCATAAGAAAAGGAACTATTAGATCTTGACAGAGAGACAGCCTGGATTCAGAGTCAGGAGGGACCTAGGTGAGAATCCTGTCATTTGCTAGCTCTGTGTTGGTGGTATGATGCTTAGCCTCTCAGCCAATTGTAAATGAGTTTCCTTATTTACAGAACAGAGATTTTTTTAAAAGAATTTTCTGTCTCACAAGATTGCTGTGAGGAAAGTATTTTGTAAACCTCATAAATGTAAGTTCTTATTAGAGAAAAATAGGGGGCATTATGGAGGATTATGCCAGGGTTACAAACAAGAATTTTGTGTTTAAAAAAAACGATTTTATGTTAATAGGTTCACAGAAATAGTTATTGTACACATAAAAATGTGAATGAGTATGAAGTAGAGGGCATAGAAGACTTTCCATTAATATCCACCTTGTCCCATATGTCCCAGGGTATTATAGCCCTAGTCTGTGCCAGACCGGGTGGGACATAATTCTTTGTGATGTCACAGAGGGAAAGCTTAACTTGAGTAAACAATAACTAGGGCAGGACAGTAAGGGCTTTGTTAAAGGGCACCAAAATTTAGAAGTCACAATATCTCTTGCAGTCCTTCTGTAGTATAAAAACAACTGACCTTAGAACCTAGTAAGCAAAAATAATTGATCAAAAGAGGAAGACTACAAAATGTTCTCTCCTGACCCTCCCTTTTCAGCAACAGCCTCAGGCTCCTGATCTTCTGCCCTATCTTGCTCTCCTGCCCTCAGACTAAACTGCCCTAGGTGCCAAAATTTCTAATTATGATTCTGAATAACTTCCCACGGTGTGTGAAACCAGGATGAAAGAAATCACTCACACATGCATATTCATTTTTTTATTAAAGTTCAAAACATAACCAATAAGAATAAAAAAAAATTTTTTCACACATTTATTAAAAGTCTCCTTAACAAGACATACTAAATGGCCTACATTTCTCCCCATCTCCTTAGTGGTAGCTATTTCTTCTTCTTTCTCACCTCACAACCCATTATTGTTCTGGGCAGTTTTACACATTAACTCTAATTCTCTGACTTCGGAGCCTGTCCAGCCACTGACATAGCTAGCTTTTTCTGTTGGGCTTACAACCACCACAAGAGGAAAAAAAACAAAACAGATTTGCTTAAGACAAAAGTGAAGTACCTTGATCCTCTAGACAGTGATCAGGTTATGAAAGCACTGCTGGGTGACTAGAAGCACATTGCAAATGATTCCCTAATGAAATCATGGCCCAAAGAATCAGGAACTTGATGAACATGAATGGAAATAAGATTTAGAGCTGAAAAGGGCAGTGTTAGTCCAACCCTCTCAAATGATCTGAAAAAACTGAGACCCGGAAGTTAAATGACTTGTCTTGGGTCAGACAACAGGCCAGTAGTCCAATCCAGGTCTTCTGACACCACACTAAGGGCCCCAGTCAAGACATAAAAGTCCCTCTCAATGCCAATAATATCAACAGAAGCTTACTGATTGCTTTTCATTCTTGGCTAAATGTTTTATACAAATGGGGACCAAATAGAATAATTGGGTTCCATTACCAAAGTACAGAATTACTGGCTCATCAGTTAAAATGAGATGAGCATGCTTTTGTTTTAGTTAACTAGGCTTCATTGAGGCATGAGAAGAACTTCTGAGCTAGCAGGGATCTTAGAAATCATATAGCACAATCTCCTCATTTTACCATTGGGAAAGTTAGGTGGTACAAGTGGATAGGGTGCCAGGACCTGAGTCAGGAAGACCTGAGTTCAAATCTAGTCTCAGATAACTCAATAGCTGTGTGATGCTGGGTGGGTTACTCACCTAGCAGGGTTGTTATAAGAATCAAATGAGATAATAATTGTAAACCCCTTAGCATATAGTAACTACATAATAGTTACTATTGTAAGGAAACTGAGTCTTAAGGAGCTAAACTGACTTAAGATCATCTGGCCTGTTAATGACAAAGCCAAGACAAACTGGACATCCTGCCTCTTAAAAGCCTCTAAAAAGACAGCCATTTTTTCCCCTCCTAAATCAATGTCCTTCCCCATCTCTCTAGGCAGATTGAAATACATTTATCTACAAAACATAAAATATCACAATACATCCAATTCAAGTGTAGTACGATGTTCTGTTCTAGAAGTCAAAACTTTAAAAGTCTCTGATAAGGTTGAAAAAAAGTTCACTGTTTGGGTATTGGTGCCTTGGGAGACGCTGGTCATTGAGGTATCTCTTGGCTTGTTCTTTAGACAGATATCATATCTTCACCACTAATGGAATTATGGAATTTGAGGTCAATCATTTCTGGCAGTGGTGTCCTTTCAAAGTCAAGATGAAGTTTAGAGAACATATACACCAAAAAGTGGGGAAATGACCAAGTCCGAACAATCCCCCGAATGAAAGAAACTAACACAACACTTGTATTTGCCATTCGTTTTCAGGCGCATGGTTTATTAGATTGACTGGTTAAGAATATTAGGATAAATAAGATAATACTTCCTTTTACAGAAAACTGTAATGATAATATTGAAAAAGATTTAACAATCTGAGGATTTCACAGAAACATCAGAATTTTAACAGTTAGACAGTAACTGGGATACTTTTGACCAAGAGATCTACTCATAGTTGCAAACATCCTGGGTTCAAATTTTTTTTAAAAAATTGATCACCAAAAAAAATGTATATCATTAATATCACTGTCACTAAATCCTAAATTTCATCAGGCTTTGAACAATGACTGCAGTCAGCAATGAGAAAAAGAAAAAAAAGATATTCTTTGTCTGTTCCAGCCCTAAAAGTCACTCACAAGCTAAGTTAACAGCTGAGAAGTCTAATCCTTTGCAGGTTACACTGCTTTTTCCAAATGTTTTTATAACCATCCTAAACTTCTTTTAAATAACACCCATCAGCTTTGCTCGTGGTATCTTGTCTGCTCAGCAAGAAAAGGCCTTTCTCCTTTGGGGCAAAGCAGCAATCGCAGGGCACTGCTCATCACGCTAAAATGCCAACTCAGTTACTGAGTGTTTTACAAGAAGTGGAAGTTAGGGACAACTGCCCAAACCTCTCAGAATCCAGATCTGAGAGGAGTCATAGGAAAATCTGCACGAGTGTTATGAAAAAAAAGGGGGGGGGGAAGGGGGGAGTAAGTACAATGCTTAGGTTTGAAAACAAAGGCCTCTGAGTACAGTAATTACTGTAACATATCAGCACGTTTGGCTAGAAAGCATACCCCTGGCCACTGAAAAACATTGATTAACCCCACTGTTAGTCTGATTTGCCTACCAGAGGTCAATGGAGGGCAGGCTCTGTCCCACCCCCACACCCAGATGTACTGCTGACATCTATCACTGAAAGCCAGAATGTTCGTATCATCCAAACAAGACAAATACAGTACTGGACACTAGCAGGACACTAACCCATCTGCAGGGCTTGTCTGCAGCTTCTAGGAACAGCAAAGATGTCAAGTCCTAAAGACCTAGAGTCGGGGGCCCAAGATTTTCTTCCCTTGGACCAAACTCAACTCTCTGGATTTGAGAAAGTCACAGCTAAGCTAACATGATTCCTTGGGCTTAGCAAGGCCTCCTGGACAGCTCTTGGCTACTAGGATCCTAGAAGTGCATAGTAAGTCAGATCTCCGATAGCTTCGGGTTTCTTGGTATAGAAGTGAAGGAAAGGAGGACCCCTGAATTGCCTCCACATCCCGGATGCTTAACTCTGCAATGTTCCTTCTTTTATCTGTTGGATAAAGAGGTTCCTCTCATCTTCAGGTGTCCTTCCATTCTGAGCTCGGACGATACACGTTGGTCGGTGGAGGTTGAGCATGTATATCAAATGCTGTTTCTCATTCTTGAGCTCCTCGATCTGGGCTTTCAGCTCTGCGTTTACACTTTCCAACTTTTCTGATTCCTGAGGGAAGGGCACAAGTAACAAGGTATTATGTTGAGGGCAACTGGCAAAAGGTCAAGTTCAAGCCACAACCTAGACTATGTACCCAAGCAGCTTGGCTTAGGAAGAAGAAAGGAGGGCAGTGCCTAACTCTGAGCCAAGATGGCCTTTGGAAGGAACTTTATCTGCTTCCTCATTCATCAGAGAGAAATGTAATGACTCAGAACATGTTTATAAGGTCTAGAGACCATGGTCCTTGGAACTTTTGGGCCCTCCTCAGGGCCTTCTACATAAGCCTCCATAACAGATGGGAGTCTAACCTTTCTGAAATGGAGCCAGTATTCTAGAGTTATGCCTAGGTATAGATTCTGCAGCCTCTTTACACTCAGGGATCAGACTCAAGACTGTGGCTAAGTCAGGGCAAAGTGAGAACCTGTATTTGGGGTGGGTAAGGGGGGAAAGAAGGAAGCAGTAATGACCCAAGCTCTTAAACCAACAGATTCTTAACCTGAGGTTTATAAACTCAATTTTTAAAAATATATTTGATAATTATATCTCAATGTATTTTGTTTCCTTTGTAATTCTGTGCATTTATTTTATCATTTAAAAACATTATTCTGAAAGAGGGTTCATAGGCTTAGATAGATGGCCAGAGATGTCCATAAGTTAAAAACCCTTCTCTTAGAAGCTCTCTACCCAGAAGCCTAACATCAAAAAACTTTGGCCTTGATTTGGGGAGACTATACCAACTCCTCTTTGTTGAGAAAAGAAGGAAAGGGGCTCAGATTATATATGGGGTGCAAAAAGGAGAAACTAGGAGCAAAACACCTGGAAGAACATCCAGAGAATACATTAATTTGTACAACTTAGAGAAATAATTTGTCGAAGGAAATTAATCAAAGGATTACAAAAACATGCCAAATTCAAATTGGCAGCTTTCTTTTCTAGGAAAATGCCTTGAATGAAACTTCTCTATGTGTACTGACGTGTCTAGTAGGATGCAAGCTGCCAGACTTGTAGAGACTGGCCAGGACTGATAAGGATCAGCCAGAAGGAGAGAACACCTTTTTCACTTCTCACACCTGCCTTTCAGATCTCCAGATGAATATTCATTGCACTGACAGCATTATCTTTTCCTACCCCTGTAGCCAACATTTTTATTGTTCCTATAAGAAGTTTATTGGACTGTTGTCTTTAGGGCAAAAGGGCCAATTCAGTTTTCAAACTGATAATCTCATTCTGGGCTCGGTGGAGAAGCGTCCTGTGGGCACAGGAAGAAGGGAGATGAGAAACCAAAGGCAGAAAGCCAAATACTCACTTTCTGCAAACATTCTGTCTTCTCCTTCTTCTTGTTCCGGCACTTGGCAGCTGCGATTTTATTTCTTTCCCTTCGTCTCTTTTTTCTTTCGTCCTCTTCAGGGGCAAACTAATGAAACCAAAAGATACATCCTTTAATACAAGAAAAAAGTCTCTGCAAAATTACTGCTGTTTAAAAAAAAGAAAGAAAGAAAACTTCTTTAATGTAATGTTTTAAATATACTTGGTTCTGGTAGCTGAGGTTAGGAGAGAGTAGGGGACAGGCACAAAGGAAAACAGAGCTCTAGATTTGTGGTTTGGAAGATCTCAGTAGGAATCTTGCCCCAGACGCTTACTAGCTGTGTGACCTTGGGCAAATCACTGAGTCACATTCAGCCTCAGTTTCCTCATCTGTAAAATGGGGATAATAAGAGTAACCTAACTCACAGGGTTATTGTAAGGATCAAATGAAATAACATAAACAAAGCACTTTGCAGCCCTTAAAGGAGTGTGTGTGTGTGTGTGTGTGTGTGTGTGTGTGTGTGTGTATTAACTATTTTTCATATCATTGATGGCTAGTACTAATCATAACCATTCTGGATAGGGTGGGAAGAAGAGCCTCTTTGGGTCAGAGGGTGACCTTGAGATGGGACAAGGACATAGGATTTGTTCATCCAAGGCAAGGTTTGAAGGCTACATAACCTTTACGTTAATTTCCAGAGGAGCTTCCATTGTGAACAAATTCAACTTGACTTATCACAAAACAAGTACCCCTGTGCCATGGAAGAAAGAATTTTCAAGAAATGAAAGTGTGTGTTTGTTTTCTTTTTGTTCCAGTTCTATGGTTTTCAATAGTGTAGGAAACTCCTGTCATGTGGGAACTGCCTCCACTAAGGCAGATTTGCTACTCAATTTGTTCCAGAGTCCCCAGAGCACCCTCAGACTTTAAAAGGCTTCCCTAGGGTTACACAGCTAGGATGTGTCAGTCTTCCTACGCATTATCCACTGTAACAAACTGCCTCTATTGTGCACTTATAAAATATGTTAAGAAATGCCTTTTCTTGAACTTTGATATAGTGGAAAGAACATTGGACTTAGAATCAGTTCGATTCAATGAGCATTTCTTAAGCACCTACTATGTGCCAGGCTCTAGAAGCACTCAGAGGATCTTGGTTCAGAGCCTGACAGTGATATTTATTATCAGTATGACCTTAGGCAAGCCACTTAGCCTATTTAGGTCTCAGTTTTCTCCTCTGTAAAATGAGTGGGTTGGATACTCATTTTATTATACTTATATATTACATATATATACTTATATGTTACATTCTATGTCTAAGTAGAATTTCATTCTAGCTCTAAATCCTACAATCCCCCTGTATTGCACCACAAGGTGGCTGCCTACTTTGCCTATGCCTGGCTCTGAGGTGCCCAGAGGTGAATCACAGCCTATTCTGACTCAGCTCTTACACTTACAATGTAAGGGATATTGCTCCCCACTCCCCTTCTTATGGAAGATCCCAAAGTCTATTAGAGGAGTGTGAGTGTCTGGAGCTCCTGGGGCAGGCTGCCAACTTTATGCTATGTTTTTATTGACTTCGTAGAGATTGGCATGTTACCTTTGGACTAGGAATTACAATCATCCTAAGGGCCCACAATCAAACTCTGCCCTTAATCTCTGCCTAAGGACTCTACCACCACTGTGATTCCATGAAGGAGGTGAGGAGAGACAGCAGCCAGGCTATCCATCTTCACTGTTCTCATAGCAGGAGTCAGATAATAAGTAATGAGTGCATAGGAAGGTTTCAGCACGTAGGCAAACTTCTTATTTATCACAATTATGACCAGTGTTTTAAGGCCTAAATTTATAATCATAGTCATAAGCTGAAAGGGGACATAGAGCCCACTAGGAGAACTTCCCTTCACTTTACAGATGAGAGAACTAAGGCCTGAGGAGGTTAAGTGACTTACCTAAGAGTATCAGAAATGGGATTTGAACCCAGATTTAATGATTAAAGGGCCAGTGTTCTTTTCCATATACCATACTGCTCCTGCATGTAGCAATATTACCTGAGAAGCCCTGATTCTAGTATGAATGAAATACAAGAAAATGAAATTAAATGTGTCTCTAGGAAGGACCCTGAACCAAATGATCTTGAGGTCCCTTTCTGCTACTGCATTGAAGATTTTTTTTTAAACTACATTCAGATCCCAACATCATTTCAAAGACTTGATAGGAAATAATTCCTTCCTTCCTTTCTTTTCTTCTTTTCTTTCTCTTTTCTCCCTTCCCTTCCTTCCATTCCTCTCCTTCCTTCCTTCCTTCCTTCCTTCCTTCCTTCCTTCCTTCCTTCCTTCCTTCCTTCCTTCTTTCCTTCCTTCCTTCCTTCTTTTCTTCCTTCCTTCCAACTTAGTCTCCTCATCTTACCCAGGCTTGTATAAGGGCTACTCATGGACCCAATACAACCACTGATCAATTCACCTTCCTTAGGCAACTTGGTGTTCCCCTTTTACTAGGAACTCATTGGTGCAGTGGATAGAGCATTGAACCTGGAGTTAGGAAGTCCTCAGTTCAAATCTAGCCTCAGACATGTCATTAGCTATATGACCTGGACAAGTCACTTAACTCTGTTTGCCTCAGTTTCTCATCTGTCAAATGAGCTGGGGAAGGAAATAGCAAACCACTCCAGGATCTTTGCCAAGAAAACCTCAAATGGGGTCACAAAGAGTCAGACACGACTGAAAACTTAGCTTTGGTTTCCTTAACTATAAAAGGGGATAACAGCACCTCTACCACCCAGGGTTATTTTAAGGATCTTATTTGTAAAGTGCTTTTGCAAATCTTAAGGCACTGAATGCCGTTGTTGTTATTAATTAATGCTGAACTCAGTGTGAATACTTGATGGGTTTAGACCACTGCAGCTCAGACCTCCCAAGCTTGAAAGATCTTCCAGCCTTGGCCTCTCTGCTAGCAAGGATGATAGGTGAGCATCATACTTTCGTGTCATTCTTTAACTTTTACACACAAGCCTGGGAGGGAGATAGTGCCAGTATTTATAGCTCAGAAGCTAAGTGCCTCACCCAGGACTCTACCAACTAGCACAGCTAGCATCAATCCGAAGTGTTCTAAGACCAATATTCTTTCCACCACGCTATCTTTTGGAGAAAGAAAGCTGAGGTCCCAGGTAGAGGTATGCACCCCAAGCCTGTACTTTAGAATAGAGTTTAATTGGGCTGAATCAAGAATAACAGCGGGGGCTTCTTGCAAGCCCCCAACCTGTCACCATTTCTATAAAATAAAACTCCCTGAGGGCTACAAGAAAGACCAGGGGAAACCACAGTGTCAAACCAAGAATTCTTGAGCGGCTATAAGTTACCTTTTGACTCTAACTTCGCTCCCCTCTAGCCTTCCAGCCTTATTACACATTTGTACCCTCCACGAACTCTGCAGCCTGGACAGACAGGTCCTCTTGCTGTGCCTCACACCAACACTCCATCTCTGGGCCTTTACCCTGGCCGTGCTCCGTGCCAGGGATACACTCTGCCTTTAACTTGGCCTCTTGGAATCTGATTTCCTTTGAAGGTCAGTTCTAATAGCACCTCCTGAAGCTCTTCTTTATGGCCCCTTTCCTAGATGCCTTCACTCCCTCCCCATTATCTTGTACCTACTTGTTATATACTTATGTGTATGTTTTTTCTCCCCATAGAATGTCATTTCTCTGAGGGCAGGAACTGTTTCATTTTCATCTATATATTCCTAAAGTCTCGCATAGTGTCTGGCCCATAAATAGACATATATGCTTGTTGTTTGATTGTCGTTGACAGTTGATAACTGTCCATTAGATTTGGATCTTTTCCCCCAACAGAGATAAAATGTCCAGGTGTGTCAGATTTATTAAAAACAAAGACCTTTCACATAGAAATTTAACCCAAAGGAGTCCCCAAATCCTACACCATTTCAAAATTCCACAAAAACACTCTTCAGCGTAGAGAAAGGTCCTAAGAGAGACTATTCCCAGAAAGAAAGCATCTTTCCCTGTGATATTCTCTCATCTTGTGAAAGAAACAATGGTAGCTAAGCTTTTGCAGCTACAGAGACCAAAAGAGTAGACTATTATAACTAAGGAAGGTACCAAAGTAAATATTAATCCATTGAGACCTGGATTATCTGCAAATGTTTAATCAGAAAATCAAGAAAACTACCTTGGGTCAGTCCTGAGTCCCTGCAGGGCAGGGCTCCATCCCTGACAGTAGCACCCATGAGCAGATATGGTAATTTATATTGACGATATTCTCAAAGATTAGGGATGGACTCTATGCCTCTCTATCTCTCCTATAATAACCTCCTATGGCTCTGTCATCTTACAACTTGTTCTAAATTCTTCCAGAGCTCATGCATGCTTATTCTGGACCTATTCAGCCTCCTTCCTCAGCTAGAGCCCTTATGTATATCAGCTTAAAGAACTCAAGAGAGAAGAGCCTTGGACAGGTGCTCAGAAGAAGTACCTCAGCTTTCATGATGGACATCTCAATGGGCCTGTCGCTCACTGTGACGGACTCCAAGGTGGCGGACATCCTGTGGCAGAGATGCTTGTTTTGGATGGCAAACCTCAGCTCTTCCTTGACAAGGGGGGTGAGGGTTGTGAAATCTTCAAAGGCCAGAGACGCAGCAGGTGACAGGCAGGGGACGATGGCTGTCGCGCTGACTTCCGAGGCAGGGACCTGGCTTGGATGTTGAAGCATCATTTTGCTGAAAAAGACCAAGACCAAAAGGACTGCCCTCAGGAAGTAGCCCAAGACCTTCCCTCCCCCAAAGCACAACCAGTACTGCCCAGGAGAGTTTTATTCTGAGGATCTGGGGCTTGAAGGGACCTCAGAGGTCACTTCATATACCTCCCTCATTTTACAGATGCAGAAACTGAGACCAGAAGAAATCAGCCTCTGAGACTGATTCCAACTAAGAGCTTCTATGTCGGTTAGCTGTTGGCTGATCTTAATTCTCCTTAATGTTCTCAATATAGCAGATAATATAATAATAATAACAACAACAAAGGTAATATAATAACTAGCATTTGTATAGGCTTTCAGGTTTGCAAAACACTACAAATATTATGTCATTTTATCCTCACATCAATCCTGGGGTGTAGATGCTGTTATTAATCTCCTCATTTTACAGATCAGGAAACAGGCAGGCAGAAGCCCAGTGACTTGCCTTGAGTCAAGCAGCTAGGAAATGGCTAAGGCCACATTTGAATTCAGATCCTCCCTGACTCCACGTCATTGCATCATCTAGCTTGCTGCCTTGATGGCAAGGGTTAACAACGGAAACCAGGAGCTTGGACACCTGAGGCTGTGCTACACTCACATATGCAGCCCTCCCCTCAGCGGTGCTTAAAGAGGTAGTATGTTTTTCCACATCATAGTGGCCAACCACATAACTGCTTTCAGTCTCCCTTTAAAAAGAAAGCTAGAAGGATGTCTGAAATTAGGGGAAACCTTTCAGTGGGTGAAAATAAAAGGGAAAGAGTTGCCTGGGTGGGGGAGAAGGGGAGGTAAGAACTTCAGTTTCTGCACATTAAAATCTATAACTGAGAACAGCTGTTTAGTGATCCAAGTTATGTCAGATACTCATCTCTTATCTACTTATTACTTATCTGTTGAAGCACTTCTAAGGGCTAACTATTGAACAGTTGATAAAATAATGGGCAAGGAAGAGGTGTGTGTTTCTGCTTCCTAGGGGTTGGAAAAGAATTCCTGTTATGAGCAAGTTTGACACTTCTGGGAAGGCATGCACAGGTTTGTCTAATTTTAAGAAGACAGGCTCTGAGAAGACATACCCCCGACACTCCCTTCCCTGCCCCTCCCCCAATTATTTCACTTCTCTAGGCCTCAGTTTCTTCAAATAGTAAAAAGAGAGGTTTAACCTAGATTCAAGGGTGTTCTGGAGCCAGCTCAAAACTAGGGAAAGCTGATAGTTAAATTTTCAGTGTGAACATTTATTTCTACCTCAGAAATCAGAAAACACTACAAGTCAGTTCTACATTTGCTATTTTGTTGATTGCTTAGACTTACGAAAGTTAGGGGAAAAGGTTAATAATAAAGATGAAACTTAAAAGTGTGTCCCACAAAGATTTTTTTCCCTCCAAAAAGCTGGTTATTAAACATTTGCCAGCACAGAGCTGACAAGGTGACTAACTTCTAAGACACTTCGCAGCTCAGAAATTTATGATCCTATGACTAATGCACAAGAATGAAAAATGAGTGGCAAAGTACATAGAGAAATGTAGAAAGAAACAGTTAGGAGAACAAGTCTAGGACCAGGGGTGGGACTCCAGGCCCTCTTCTGCCACTTACTTAGAAGAAGCAAGGCGCCCTAAACAATCTCTAAGTTCCCTTTCAGCTCTTAGGCTTGATGATCAGGGTCCAGCTAAAGGGAAAACCTAGGAAGGGTGGCCACAATTTCATTTAGGAATTTTCAACTACAAATCTGACTTCCTCAAGTGATGCACCAGTGAGTACCCTTCAAAGAATGAAGCCTACATTCAGACAAGCCTGCCCACGCGTGACTTCCTCCCTGCTGTTGCCTGTGACATTCTGTGGGCATGACTGCAAGGTAACACTCGGGCCAGGAAGCCCCTCCCTCCTTGACCCCCCCCTTCAGTTTGGTAGGTTGATAATGGGTGGGGGAGGGAGAAGATGGTGGTGGAGATAATTAGCAAAGGAAAATGAATTAAAATTTTTGCTGTTCAGTCCTGAGTCTTCATGGCCCATTTGGAGTTTTCTTGGCAAAGAGTGGTTTGCTATTTCCTTCTCTAGCTCATTTTACATATGAGGAAACTGAAGCAAACAGGGTTAAGTGGCTTGTCCAGAGTCATACAGGTAGTATCTGAGGCCAGATTTGAACTAAGGAAGATCAGTCTTCCTGACTTCAAGTCTGACACTCTCTCCACTGGCCACATAGGATAAAACCCAAACAGAGACTCCTTTCCTCTTGGACATCCATTTATGAGTTTAAATTCCCTCTGTTCATCCTTGCTTCATAAATTCACCTTTATTATTATTTTTCTCTCCTTCTGCTTTTTATAGGTGTAGAGCAGGGAGGAATCTTAGAGATCAGCCATCTAACATACTCTTTTTACGGATGAGGAGACTGAAGTCCAGAGAGGCTAAGCCATACAGCCAATTAGTGGCAGGGCCAAGATTTGAGCTCAGGCTCTGACTAAAACTAAGTCTCTTTCCACTACACTGAAGGTCAACCAGAAACTTTTTATGGAGTTGCCAGTCTGTATGATGTGTCCACAAGCAGGCATGGTGAGCTATACATTTTACAAGCATATGTTTTTGTGTCTTTTAAGCCACAAAGCCCTCTTGCACACACTGCTGTTGTTACTACAAGAAGTTCATTTTTAAGGTGCCTGGCTGTTAATAGAATCACATAATCATATTCTGTCACTTATAAGGCCCTTTCTTTACTTATAACAATCCTGGGAAATAATTAAGGACAGAAATGACATATTGAGTCTGACCTCTTTCTCCAGCTCAACAAGATGGCACCTTTGACAAAGGCACTGGGAAGGTATGGTAGTTTCCCCCTTCCCACACACTCACCCTCAGATCTTAAAAAGTCAAAGACACCCTCCTCAAATTCCCTTTGGAGACCTCATCCTGGGGTGGGGAATCTGCAGTCTCAGGCCCACATTCGGCCCTCCAGGTCCTTGGGTGAGAACTTTTGACTGAGTCCAAGTTTTACAGAACAAATCCCCTTAATAAAAGGATGTGTTCTGTAAAATTTGGACTCAGTCAAAGGGCCACGATCGAGGACCTAGAGGGCGGCATGTGGCCTCAAAGCCCACAGGTCCCTCATCCCTGCCTTATACCTACATGTTGGTTCCCCCTCCCCAGTAGAATGTAAATCCTTAGAGGACAGGAGCTTTTTCTAATTTTTCTGTCTTTGTGTGCTTAGCCTGGCCCAGTATGAATGTCCTAATAAATGTCTGTTGAATAGAGATGAAACAACTGATTCAATATTCCCAGAGCTATGAATGCTTAATGGTAGGGGATCTGTTTGCTCTTCTGATAGACCTAAAAAATGTAAGCAATTCTGCTCCCAAAGCCCTGGCTCATGAATCAGAAGAGATGTACCTCTATCCTTTAATCCTAAAAAGCTAGAAAGATACTCTTTTCTGACGGGTTATAAACTTCCCCAAGAATCCAGCCTTCCAGAATCATCATCTGAACATTCTCCCCTGCATTCTCCTTTCGCCTCCCATCCCCAATGTTATTAAAAACCAAATAGTTCAGTGATGGAATCCAGAGACACCATCAGCTAAGCCTTTGTTCCTAGGAAGGGCTGCCTTCTAGCAGGGTAACTCTGTGTAATGAATTCTACCAGATCTGAGAGGCGGTCCACTTTCCCACCCATTCAAGTTTATTAATGAGTGCTCATAGCTGGTGGTCTGCCAGTCTCAAAACCTGAGGAAAGTTTCCTTTTTCTTTCTCAGTGTAAAAAGTCAGTATTCCTAATGGAAAAAGAGGAAGAATGTCAGTGTTGTGGAATGTTCCGATTAAAAGTACTGCCTTAAATGATTTAGGGCACAAGGGTGGGGAACCTTTGGCCTCAAGGCCACATGTGGCCCTCTAGGTCCTGTTTTCACTGTTTAGTTAAACAGTTTTCACTGTTTAAGTGACTCTTCATGACACCTTGAGGACCTAGAAGGCCACATGTGGCCTTCAGGTCACAGTTTCCCTGCCTCTGACTTAGGAGTTACAAAAAGTGTGAAAATCCTTTCAAAAATTTCGTCAATGAGTACATTGGAGTATATTTTGGGCCTTGGAATCAGGAAGACCTAGGTTATCTCCAACCTCAGATATTTTTGCTAGCTGTGTGACCCTAAGCAAGTCCCTTAAACTCCAGGACCCTCAGTTTTCTCATTTGTAAAACAGGGATAAATAACAGCTCCTATCTTACAAGGTGATATAAGGATCATTTGAGATAATGTAAAATGATCTGTGAATTTTAAAATACTACATAAATGAGTGACTATTATTATTGTTTCTCTCCAAATCAGAAATTTTAATTCTTTTGATAGTTTCTAGAAACTTTTACTTTCTCTCATTAAATATATATGTCCTCAGATTTAGGCATATAGCCAAATAAGCAAAATAAAAAGTTTATTTAGTTATTCATATAATTCAGCCCAGGCAAACCAAAAAATCCTGTTAACTGAGTTGGTAATTGTCCAAATTCCTTTTGCCAAGTCAACTTCACTTTCTTAGGACCTGAAATATCTGAAGTGTTCTTTCTACTCAATCACAAATGACATGACTTTCACGGTTTCTTCATTCTAAAGAAAGTGAAACTCCATGGTTTATTCCATTAACAGATAAACATTTCTGGGAACCTGGCTCCCACATTTTACTTCTTAACGGTTACAGTTACCCTGAATTTTCACTTTCAATTTTCATGTCTCTTCTATAAACCTCCCCCATGAAATATTATGCCTTATGACATTATGACTCCACCATAGGTATTTTATTGACCACTCATTCTGGTTCCTTCGCCCAACTAACTTGAGGACAAGGCAAATAATACCAGGCTGGGATTCAGAAAATACTGGCTCTAGCTCTGGCACTAAGCAGCTGAGATACCAAAGGTAGGCAGGTCTTAACCTCTCTGTGCTTCAATTCTTTAGTTTATAAAATGAGACCATTAAGATGTACCTAAGAGTCGGTGTGGTATGACAGATAGAGGGCTAGCCTTCAGCAAGTCCCCAGGCAGTTCTCTAAGACTAAATTATAGGCAATCTGTAATAATGGAGGGAATATGAAGGCAGTTTAGAAGGCATTTTCATACTAAAAGCTCCCTATATTAATGAAATCCTATCTCTAGGCCCTGACCCTCCAAATTGATCACTGGTTGTGATCTGATTGATTTTTAACTCATCCTGGGTAAACACCCAAAGTGGGGACCACCCTACTCATTTTACAGGAAGATAAAATAACTTGCCCAAAGTCATACTGCTAATAAGTAATAATGCATGTAAAAGGCAGTTTGAAAAACACAAACTGCTGTACTTTGTTGTTTAGTCATTTTCAGTCATGTCTGACTCTCTGTGACCCCTTTTGGGGTTTTCTTGGCAAAGATACTGGAATGATTTGCCTTTTCCTTCTCTAGCTCTTTTTACAGATGAGGAAACTGAGGTAAACAGGGCAAAGTGACCTGTCTAGGGTCATCCAGCTAGTAAATAAATGTCTGAGGCTGAATTTGAATTCAGGTCTTCCTGACTCCAGGCCCAGCACTCTATCTACTTTGTCACCTAGCCTCCCTGAAGTGGTATATAAAGAAGCACTATTATATAGATTGGGTGGCCCCATTTTTAGTTTCATATCTCAGGGATTAATTTTCAGCTCTGTTGGGATTAACCAATCTGGCTGCTGATGCAATTAAGCCCAATTAATTAGGAGTTAATTTTAACCATTAAGCATTCATCTTGGCTTGAAGCCTTTTCTGTATCTCATTGACCTCTAGGCTTCCGCAACACACCCAATAAATTCTACCCCCACTATTTGTTGGCAGCAGCAATTCCCAACCAGAGTTATGAAGTAGTTTCACACACAGGAAACGGTTCTCCCCTGAAAACTTTCTGTGGTGTACTCATCATGTCCTTCCTTCTACTGATGGTTGGGCAACACTGAGAGCAAATGGCCCTGTTACATAGCCAACATTAAAAAAAAAAAAAGAATGTGAGAAAGGTATCCTAGATGATGCTATCCTTGTCTAAAAGGAGATAGAGCCAAAGGTTCTTCTACTACCATGAATTATAATTCCTTTATTATAATTCACTTAGCTGAGTGCTATTGTCAGCAATCTCAGTTGCCCATCAGACAACCAAAGGTTCCAAGCAACATCCAAAGGAAACACTGACAGGTTTGAGGCAGAAACACAGAAGGGAAAAAGGAAGAGGAAAATAAAAGGAAATGACCAAGTAGATGAAGATAAAAGGAGAAGAGAGAAGTCTACTGGGGAGAATGGCTAACAATAACAGATTCCTAGTGTTCCATGCTACAAGCTACCTCTTATCACTGTCATAGCAGTATTACAGGATAATCCTGGGGCAGCTAGGTGGCACAGTAGGTAGATCTCTGGGTCTACAATCAGAAAGAGTTGAGTTCAGATATGACCTCAGACACTTATTTGCTGTGGGACCCTGTGCAAGTCAATTAACCCGTTTGCCTCAGTTTCCTCATCTGTAAAATGGGGATAATAACGTCACCCAGTAGTAATAATGTGTGGATCAAATGAGATAATTACTGCAAAGAGGCTGGCACATAGTAAGCGATATATAAATGTTAGCTATTATTATCGTCAATACTATCACAATTTACATAACACTTTAAGGTTTACAAAACAGTTTCTATGCTACAAAAGTCCTGTGAGATGGGCAGCACAAATTTTCTTATCTCCATCTTACAGTGGAGAAAGCTTGAACTCAGAAAGGTCAACTTTTCTTCAGTCCTTTTGTTGGTAAATATTTGAGCCTTTTTCAACCTAGATCCAACCTGTAATTTAATTGGTACAGGAAACCACCAGTAAGGAAATTCTCTCTACCAATGCAGGCTGGCAGTTTATTCTGACACCTAAAAGTCTTAGGGAGCTAACTTGAGGATTGGGTGGTTAAGTTAATTGGCCAGGATCACAAAGTCAGTATGTGTCAGTGGAAAGACTAGAACCCATAAGGACTGGATTCTCTCTGCTAGACCTCTGCTGCATTAATGCATTAATATTTAGTCCCAATTCATTTTATTAGATGCTATAGCATTTTATCCACCTGGGACATAGAATGAGACCAAAATGTTCACTACTTTATTTTAGAGATCAAGGGAGACTGAGGCCCAAATGAAAGAATATTCCAAAGTTACATAACTACTTGGGGAAAGGGATGAAGCTAGGACTTGAATCCTAATCTCCTAGTTTCAAGCAGAGATGCCTTTTCCCTGTCAGAGTGCCTTCGAAGTTTCCTTATCCCTCTAAACCAATGCAGAAATTAATCGATTCCCATAGCTGTTACTATGGCAGAAGAGAAGGAAAAGGAGTTAAACAGTAGGAGAAGAGGGGGAAAGAATGAAAAAGAAGTGGAAAGAGAGGGAGAGTAAAGAACAAAGAAGAAGAGAGGAGAGTAAAGGAGAGGAGAGGGGAGGAGAGAAGAGGATTCCTGAAACAATTGCCTTGGTTGCCACTCAGTGATACCACTGCCTCAGTTTACCTTATGATGATACAAATAATCTTTTTGGGTCCCCAAACATTCTTACACCTTTGCCCTAACAGGTTTATAGAATAATAATAACCCATAATTTACTACCTTTGAGATCGTTTAGTCCAAACCCCTTCCATTTTGTAAAGCCCCAGATAATGTCATAGCTATCATCACATTTTATCCTTTTGTGAGATAGGAAAGGTAAATAATATTCACGCCGATGCCTCCTTCCATACGGGAATACTGATACCTAGGGAAATCAATGTATTATTTAAGAACACACCGATAGCTAGGGAGGTGGGGGAGGAAGGAGATGAGGATAGGGCAGAATCCACAAAAATAGAACTGGCTCCTTCTTTAGCCATCCTACCTCTTGATTTTTAGAACTGCCCCAGTTAAGGGACAAAGACTCCTTAAACGTATGAGAAAATAATAATTTTTTTTAAAGTGAGACAGAAAAAAGCGAATCAGCAAGAAGGAGAAAGCACCGATGAGAAACCTGAAGCCAGACACTTTGCGGTGCCAGACATGACAATCATTTTAAAGGCTCCCTCCTCCTTCGTCCCCGGGGCCAGGAAACTGGTACTAAACTTCAAACTAAGTTTCACTCCTCATCCGGAGAGAGGCCCCGAAGCCTTTGCGCTGCATTTTCTCCCAGGCACCCAGGGCGCCTCCCAGTGGACGCGATTGCTCCTCTTGCGGTCCACCCGGTCCCCATTCATCCGAATCCTGTCTCCAGACGCCAGGGAGAGGACTGAGAGGAGTAGCGGGGGAGGGAGAGAAGAAATAGAGAAGCTTGGGATCCTCCTAGGGGGTGGGGAAGGCAGGGGAGGCTGGCGTCTGGGAGAGCGTTTATGGGCAATCTGAGATACCCCTTTACCTCTCTCTCCTCCGCCCCCTAAACCTCCTCCGGCTTCCCCACAGTCACCTCCCAAGCTGGTTAAGTTAGGCAGAAGAAAGCGGAGAGTATCCCAGTGTGAGTGTGGATGGGGGAGTCTCTCCGTCTCCTTTCGAAACCCCCCCTTCTTACACACACACACACACACACACACACACACACACAGAGCTAGCTTCGGGAAACTTTTTGAACTGTTGAGAAACCTCTAGGATTGTGCGAACAAACTTCCCACTAAGTTCTTTCGGCGCTGATCGGCGTCCCACAAATCCCTGGGAGATGAAGGGTTCGGGCTGGGGTGTTATTAGGGAAACTGAACGTCGGGAAGCACACAGGTAAAAAGTCATCCCCCCCTTCCCAGGCACTCACCTACCTTCCTTTCTCTCCCTCCTGCCTCCGCTCCTTTCTGACAGTCGGCGGAGGGCGCTGGGCTGGGGCTGTCCCGAGCCCAGAGACGAAGGAGCCTCGCCTGGAGCTAAGGCTTGAGTAGGGGAGGTGTATCGGAGCCCAACGACTTGGAAGCGGAGGCAGCGTCTGTCCTGCTGTTGCCGCTGCTGCTGCCGCTGGGGCAAGCAAAGCTCCTCTCTCTGCCTTGTTGCTTGGGATTCTGACTAGTAGCGAGGTTGCATCACCCCTTTTTATATAGTGGGGAGTGCTGGTATTTACACTGGGTTGCCAGTCTCGGGCTGACGTAATGCTATTAATAGCTTCCCAGAGAGAACTAGCAAGACAGGGCTGGAGAAGAGGAGGACTGGGAGGGGCTAGGGAAAGGCGCGGGGGGGGGCAAGAAGGGGAGGAGGACGGTGATGCAAGGCCCCCGGGGCGTGAGGGGGGAGAGGGGAGGAGCAAGGGAGAGGAGCTCTCTCAGCGACACACACACACACACACACACACACACACACACACACACACACACACCCCCCCACACACACACAAACGCATTCACGCACACCCTCTCCATAACAGGATTGTAGTCGTCTGGGCCCTACGCCAGATTTGTTCTCTTTTGCAGCTTCGTGTCCCAGGCATGAGCCAATGATGCCCAAGCCAGCTGTATGACTGAAGAGCCCTGGCATCTCTCCCTCCTGCCGCTACCGCTAGGCTGAGAGGGTGGGGAGGGATGGAGGGGGGGGAGGGGGAGACAGAGGCTGGGACCAGAGTTTGCTGTCCGGACTAAGAGAAGGGGGCAGGGAAGGACGGGAAAAGATGCGACCTTTATTTAAAATGCTTTGTCATTTTCTATAGCTACTGGAAATTGCTCCCTCTTGCCCTCCCCTCCCTTCCCACTCCCTCTCCTATTCGGGAACTACTGTTATTAAATAGGGGAGACGACTAGGAGGAGTACAGGGAGGGGGGTTCGGAAAGTCACAAATAGAATGATCCAAATAGTTACGAACTCAGAAAAGCTGAAGAATATAAAGAAGTTGGGCGTTCTAAGATAGAGGGATAACACCAGAAACCAGAACTCGTTCATAGAAATTCAGAAGTCTGGTCTACATCTATTACTTAAAGCGGCGCCCCACGAATTCAATAGACCAACAGGAAGAGAGACTGAATAGAGGTAATTTAGGAATCGGATTCAAAGACTGCAAGAGCGAAAACTTGTTGACCACAGACACAGACCATTCGAAATTCACTCCAAAGCCCCGGGATGGGATGGAGTGGAGTGAACAGAATATTTGCAGAAAGATAAGATACACAGAGAAATAAAAGCTAAAGAAGGCTAGAACTGAGGCTGGTTGGTGAAACACACACAAACACACACACTTACACACACACACACACACACACTTTTAAATACCCCCCACATGGAGCACAGAGTAAACAGACACGGCTATAAAGAAAGGCTATAAAGACCCCTACAGCAATTTCTATCAACTACTTGACATTTAGTGGGTAGGATGGGTGGTCGCTAATACCATTCTGTCCCCAGAGGGCTGAAGCAGGCTGCTGGTGACCAGGAGGTTCCAACGGAGGACGGACATTGACTACCACTGGAAAAGGGGTGTCTTTCTCTTCCCCAAATGGATCCCAGCTGAGCTTTGCTTTGGAGGCTTTGAGGGTTCCCAGCAATACCTGCTTCCCCATAGCCAAGGTGAGGTCCCTTGGGCTCCTCGGTTCCAGGGCGATCTGGTCACCTAGGGAGAGGTTTATCAGTAGACATATGCGACCTCAAACTGATCCCTCATACTCAATCTATAGTTCCAGCTATTTGCTCAGCGAGGTCTCCAGATCTAGATTTGCGTTTTATGGACGATTTATTGTGCTGAAGAGATTACTACACATGATGTACACATATTACAGAATACATCATTTACACAGAACATATCAGATTGTTTAAGCCTCGTACCATGGACTGTGTGGAGATAGGTATGTCAGCTCAAAGGGTCCGACGGCTTTCATAAGTTTTTCTCACTTTTTTTTTCAAATGAGGCAGTTAAATGTTGATTTTTTAAAATTAAGATTGTCCCACTGTTCACATTTCAGCTTCCACACCCTATACCTAAGGCGTTAGTCTTGTGCGTCAAGGTGATAGGAAGAGCCGAGAATTCGAGGAGTGGATTGAACGCACACGTACACGAACACGAACACGAACACACACACACACACACACACACACACACACACACACACACACACACACTCATTTCCCCTCCTCTACCCCGGAAAACCGGATTTCCTGACCCTCAGAAGAGCTGGTCCACATTCTGCCAGTGACTTTGCGGGTAGATAGACCTTTTTCTAAGCCCGCAGCCTAAGTCCCCGAAGTCCCAAGCAGGATGTATTAAGTCCCTGAGCATCTTGAGCAGCAGCCGCACCCCTGGGGAAACCTAGACCCGAAATTACAAAGGATCCAAGGTTCTGGGAGGTTTCTCCCTGCTCTTACAGCTCCCTCCCTCACTTCCTTAGCTGCCCCCTCCCCCAAGGGGAGAAGGAAGTTCAGGTTCCTAATTTACTAAAACTGCTGAAGCTGAACTCTTATTTAGCTCTGGCTGCCCATAGTGTGGCAGGTTGTTATTGTCGGTTTGCTTTTTACCTTGGTAACTGTCTTATCACGCCCACACACCCACATTCCCGCCCACTTGCAAGGTAGAGGCAGGTAAATAAAAGGTGTGTCCGCTTACGAGAATAGACAGAGATTCAGATCACTGGGGCGCTTAAAAAATGCAAAGTAATTCGGGACACCTTGGACTTAGAATAACAAACACTAAAATGAAAAAAGAGAAAGCAGGAAAAAGGAAGGGAGGGAGGGAGGAAGGAAGGAAGAAGGAAAGTTTGGTTTTCTATTTTTTATCTTTTAAAAATACTTAGAGAACTTTTATCCAATTTGAATGAAGTTTGGTGTTTTAAATTAGGTCCTAAACCACACAAACACAGCAATGTTCACTTTCAATGCACAATTGGGGAGATCTTGTCACATTTTCTTAAGGAAAATTCCTCTCATGAAAGAAAAAACGCACAGGCAGACTGTTGTTACCAAAAACAATTTAGCACATGTGTAGTAAAATGTGAGGAATGATATATAGGCAGGGTTATTATAATTGCTACCCATTTTTCTGTTATATGTGACTATTTCAACCAAAATTTCTCCTCTGAAACTCAGTCACACCCTAAAGCCTCAGCTGGACAGATTTAATACACTCAAATGAAAGACCTACACATCTTGCTCTGTTTCTGTCTCTCCTACTGAAACCCCAAAACTGATAAGAGTCTGGATAGAGAAGTCCACCCCCATGTGAAAGAATAATAATCACATTTATGTAGTGTTTTAAGGTTTACAGAGCATTTTTCTCAGAACACTCTGGTGAAGTGGATAGCTTTATTCCTACATTGTAAACAAGGTAAAACAGGCATTCAGAGAGAGGTTAAGTGATTTACCTAGAGTTCACGCAGCTAAAGTAAGAACCAGGAACATTACTACTGGTCTTTCAATACAGCACTTTCTCTACTACCCCGGATGCCTCCCCTCCCCCCCCAAAAAAAGTCTCCTTCAAGGGGAAAAAAAAGTGCCTCTTTCTGTAAAGATCCAGCAACTGGAATATATCTTTAGAACAGGAAAACATACTCTAATAGCTGATATTTACATAGTTCTTATCTCATTTAATCCTCACTACAATGTTGGGAGGTGGGGGCTACTATCCCCATTTATGGAGACAAGGAAACTGAGCCTTTAAAAGGTTAAGTGACTTAGCCATAGTCATACACTTAGTAAATTGTCTGAGATGGGATTTGAACCCTAGCTTCTTGATACCAACTCCGGCATACTCATCCCTGTACCACACATTGTGTTAGATACATAGCCTATCAGTATGGGATCACAACAATCAAATGCCTGTGAGCCAATAACCTTCTCAAATGCAGAAAAGATGAGATTCCAAGGCTAAAATATAGTCAGCCTGCCACATATCCCTGACTGAGGATTATTTGGGGTGGGAAGGTGGTAGGGGTAATCAAAAAAGAAAAAAGACACCAACTACTGCTGAGATCCTACCCACTAAAGATCTGTCAGAAGAATCCACATCCAGACCAGCAGCTGGTATGTCTTGCTGAGGGAGAAAAGATTTGGAGACTTCATGTCGAGGCATGAGCTAAAGAGGAAAAAAAAAAAGAAGGAAATAAACTAGGGTATCTAAAAACAGCCTACTCGTGGCAACCAAATCTAAACACCCAAACATTACAGGAGTAAAAAATAAAATCAACAGATATTTAAATGTATTTAGTGGTTTGTTCTTGTTTGTTCTTTGCTCAATCTTGTGATATCATGAGGGGGAAACCTCTCCCTGGGTTTGGGATCTGAAGTCCTGGGTCTGAGTTCCAGCCTTGCCACTTGCTAGCAGTATCACCTTGTCCTAATCATTTGCCTTCTCCAAACCTCGGTTTCTGTGCTGGCAAAAAGGATGATCTCTTCAGCTCCCTTCCAGCTCTAATAATCTATGAACCCCTCTTGTTCTACTCAACTTCCCTTTTGCCTGATCCCAGCACACACACAAGTACTTTACTGTCTTCAAACAGCTCTAACTGAAACCAACTACTTTCTATTCTTACCCATTTGAAAACCAACAGACTCTTTTAGATGCAGTATGAGACTCCCCAACTCCTCCTTACACTCTTGTTTTGGCTGTACTTTCCTTCAGAGATTCTACAATCCAATTCCTCACCTACCCTCCACTCTACTACAGGTTGAACTTGCTATTTACTAACTCAGAAGGTCTCCAAACTGGAAGTCAGGAAAAGATTTTCTGTTTTTCCTCTCCTCCTGAAGTTCCATGCCAAGTCTCCCTGTGTGCTTTTACCCAATGATGATGGGTAAGAAGAATTGAAGAAGAGATACAGCAATCAATCAATCAGTAAACAAAGATTTAGCAAGTAGTGTAACATAGTGTGATATAATGGAAAGAGTCCTGGATTTAGAGACCAGAAGACCTTGGTTACAATTCTAGCTGTGCCACTCACTAGGTACATGACCATGGGTAAATCATTTCTGAAACCTCAGTTTCCTCATCTGTAAAATGGGAGATTTAGATTAGATGAATTATAAGGACCCTTCTGGCTCTAGATCTATGATCTTAAGCACCTGCCAAGTTCTGAGCACTGTGTTAGGTGTTGGGGATTCAAAGACAAAAAAATGAAACAATCCCTGCCCTCAAGATTACATTCTATCAAGGGAGACATCCGCATATAAGAATA